GCGCCGGCCGTAGTGCGCCCAATCACACAACTCCGCATCCTGCACCATCGCCCGGGGGGGAAAAAAGGGGGGGACGGGGTCGCCAAAGGGGGTGGAAAAGAACTGAAAAAGCGTTCGGAAGGGTAGAGGTTTCGTGGCAAAATGTCGCGAGGAACCTTCTAGAGGGGTGTGCACTTCTAAGAGAAGGGGGGGGGGAATAAATAGAGATAAAGTAAGAAAAATAAATAGCGGAAATAGATCCATGTCCATCGCCATCAATACTCATGTCGATAGGACTTTTATTGGGAGGTTAATAAGGCAATTGCAGAAAAACTTCCATCGGCCTAATTCCTATACGGAGTGGCGTGGAGTGTGGGCAAAAAGAATAGTTCGTTTTATCAAAAAAAAAGGGGGGGGGTAATGAAAACCCCAACGTTAAGACATGGGCAGGGGTCCTCGCCATTCCACCTCGTGCCTCGGATTGGGAACGAACGCGATGGCGGTGAACACAACCCCCCGCCCCCGAGTCCGCCCTCTCAACCCCATCCACAACAACAACAACAAAAAGAAGCACCCATCATCGGCCCCCCTCTTCTATTCCGCCTTTTTCGGATCCACCGGAGCGGCCTCGTTTAAGATGGTGAAAACATGCCGATAGCACGCGATGATCTTTCCCTTCCGCTCCCGTCGCTTCTCCATTCGAAAGCCCGTCGGCTCGCCCTGGTTGAGGCCGGCTATCGGGCCAAACGAGGAGGACGGAGGCGGCAGAAGCTCCGGGATCGGCCTTCCCTCCAAATACGCCCAGAGCGGCCTCGCCGAGGGCAGCAAGGCGAGCAGGACGGTCTCGTCGTCGACGCCGAGCGCGAGGAGATCCCGCGCGACGTCGAAGCAGCTCTTCGCGGGTGCTTTTCGCCCCCACGAGGCGGGGGTTTCGCGGAGCAGGTAGGCCTGCAGGGCGCGCGGGCGGGTGTAGATGAAATGCCGGCACCCCCCCTCCCCGCAGCGGCAGGGCTGGGTGGCCTGGGCGGGGAGCAGCGCCTCGCCGCGCACGACCGGGGCGATCCGCAGCCCGTAATCCACCGTCAACTCCTCCCCGGCGGCGATGTCGCGGCGGGCGAAAAAGGCGTTGGGGTCGTCGTAGCCCCGCCAGGCGCGGATCCGCGCGCGCAGGGCGGGGTCCCCGCTCGCGGCGGCGGCGGCCCAGAACCCCCCGCGAGAGCCCCCCGCAGAGGTTCGCCGCGCAGCTGTGGTTGAGCAGGTGGGGGAGCCCGGGCCGCAGCACCATCTCCGCCACCGCGCCGCCGGGGTGGGTGTAGTGCCAGGCCTCCGG